CTTACTATATATATATATATATATATATATATATATGACACCATCCTAATAGGGATTAAGAAACCTTTACTCCAAAAATTTTGACAATAGGTTTCCCTTATATTTATTAAAATTGCCATACTTTTTTCCTTCCTATCAAAGTGGTGGAGGGCATTGAGTATAATTGCAAATAATCTCAAAGTTCAAATTTTCAAAACCCTCTCATTGGATGGTTGGGATTGTGTGGATTTGTATTTTTTTGTTCTATAGATTAGATTCATCTAAAATTTGAGGCATGTGCACATCACATCATCATGCACCAAAAAAAAAAAATTTACAAAAAAAAGAATCATCAAACAAAAGCAACCAAAATACCCCTGAAATATGTGGGGCTATTTGGGTCATGTTTACTGTTTGAATTATTCTTTTGCAACCTTTTAGGTGTGCCTTATTAAGGCACACACACCATCAAAATTTCAGTAAAATCCGATATGCAAAAAATAATCAATTTTTATATTGAAATTTAAAATTTTGGAACATTCACAATTACACTTCACGCCCTGTCTCTCCTTTGATTAGATAAGGAAAATATATGGGTAATTTTAGCTCATATAAGGCAACTTATTGTCAAATATTTTGGAGTAGAAGTTTATAAAATAACCATTAGGATGGTATTCTAGAATAAGTGTATATGTGTGTGTGTGTGTTGGAAAACTCGGGAAAGTCCACTCAGACCAGCCCAAGTCACTCAGGCTCGATACCATACCAAGCTTGAAACGAAACATATGGGAACTAGCCCGTACGGACATTCCTAATGATTTATTAATTTATTGTTCAACCTCAACCAAGTCACTGACAAACTCAGCCAAGTTTGTCAGACTTGACTTGGGCCCAAGACCTAGCTAGTTTCAATATGAGTCCTTGCTTGTCTCACTAATATACATAAAAATAACCATATATAGTGAATAACTTTTGAAGCATCACTAGCACAATGCCCCAAATTGAATATGGGCTGATATGATAGCCAGTGTGGTGGCTATGTGTTTGAATGTTAATTTTACTTTTATAAATCCAATAGATCTGAACTTTAGGGATGTGCTACATCAAGGAACACCAGAAATGCCCTCAACCCTATCAGTGAATGTAGCAAGGTAATTTTGGTCATTTTAGCTTTTTCATATTATTTTTTATTATTTTGTTTCGGTGCACTTAGTTAAGCTCATGTGTCCTAAGAAAGCTCAGGCTAACCAGATCTGTAGAACAAAACATTGCCCATATCCATTTGTCGGATCAGACAAGATGGTATCTAGGCCATTGGGGCTACTATTGTTTGGTTGGCACTTCATAATCAGACAAAGATTGGCTCACTATCTTGATGGGACTTTTGAAAAATGTATGGACATTCAAGTCAGTTTTGTGCGTACTTCGAAAGAAGCATAGGACTTAGCTGTCTCACTAGCTAAAGAGGAACACATAGGCAAGAGTTGTTTATAGTGCACTCCTCGTTATAGGCCAACTTTTTGTATAGCTTGAGTTAACATTGACAATTGTTACAATTTTGTATATGATAATCTCATTCTTCATTAAGTCAAGTTACCAATCAAGAAAAGAAAGATGTTATATCATATTCTCCCTAAATTAATAATGTGGAAAATAAACAATTAAATCCTACTATCAAAACATTATTAAAATCACCAAGTTCCATTATTAATACAAAAATTCGAACTTGATATAAGCTAACCCAAATTTTGCAATGAAAACTGAAAATTAAAAGACTCGATAAGAGAAAAAGAGAGAGAGACTACAGTGTATTGATTAAAAGATGTTTATAATTGATTAAATGAAAGCACATACTTACTAGTTATATCATCCGCAATCACCTGAATCTCGAGACACTCCTCAAACCAATCATATAAAAAGAATATGGAGAGGGCCCCATCCAATGGGAAATTAAAACAGCTTCGGTGATATTATCAAGTGTGGGGTTTGTTTGGAATGTGGGTTGCATGGATTGGAAGGCTTAAAAAAGTAAAGACGACAATAAATATATAAGGTGTGGGAGCGGGAAATGGTGCCGAAGCAAGGAAACAATAAATATATAACTAAAAAAGGGTAAACTTAGGAACTCATAAATAATTACTTACAAATAGATTGACCTATATGTCGATGTGCATCACAAAATCCAATAAGAAAAAATCATAAAATTGAAATGCCTTCTCTCGTCATTTTCACGATCTTCACTACAACTATAATTATTAGGATAAGAATTTATTGGGATATTATTGGATCGGTCTTTTTTGTCAGGAATATATTGAAATTTTGTTAGAAGTTTAACATATTAAATCAACTAATCAAGATATATTATTTTTATAAAAAAAAAAAATCATTCAAGAATTATTTGTACAAAATCAATAAACACAGTGAAAAATAGAAATATGTTAAAATAGTGTGAATAATGAAGAATGAATTGAAAATTATAGAATAATCTTGACAAACACATCTTTTAAAAATTATTTGAATTTTAAAATTTAAGATCATTGAACTTTAAAAGTTAAGATCCCCTACAGTTAACATTCTCAAAAAAAAAAGTCAAGATCCCTTCAAAGTAAGTTGCTAGGTGCAATGCACATAAAGCCAAGTTTCAAGCGGAAGAACAATCCTATAACTTGCTCTCTTAGGGAAATTTATATATCCAGTACAAATTGTTATTATTTTAGGCAAGTTTCGTGCAGTTAGCCTTACTTGGCTTTTCAAGCAACTGTTATGTAAGAGAGATTTCTATCAAAAATTCATATATATCTGAGATTGTATAGTATGAGACCATTTATCTTTGTTACAAGGAGGTCACAATTGTTACTAGCCATTAGATACCAAATTGGATGGCTTGGGGTGTATCCGAAAGTTCGAGAATCTTTTTTTTTTGAACTTGGAGTCTAGTTAATACACACTTACAACCACCCGATTTGAAATCTAGCATACAAGAGTGTTTGTGACTTGTAGCAAAAGTAAATAGTCTCTCTGTATACTTTTCCTACACACACACTACGTTATTACACCCAAGCTAGGGGGGTGGACATGTGTAGCAAGAATATGAAGGGACCCTCTCTCTAGAGAGATTATAGGGTAGGTGTTTTTAAAATAGGATACACCACCCTTGCACAAAAGACATCTCCCTACAATTCCAGGACACACAATAATGACTCTAATTGCTAACTCAACACTCATTAATTATGATTTATACATGGGTACCCTTTCTATGGTGACTCTTCACTTATTAGTTATAAGAGAGAGGGCATAATCTGATGGTGCATATTATCAATGGTGCTCACTCATACACTATTTATGATTATTTAAAGGGTGTGGATTCTATAAAGTTACAACCTTAACCAATCCAATTAAGGTGCACCTCCAAATTTAATCAGAACATGTAATTTGATGTAAAAAATTCTTAGGATTATCTGAAAAAATATTTTCAGACCTAATTATAAAAACTTAAACTCCAAAAATGATTAAAATCAAGTTGATCTATGAACATATGAAAATCTTGAAAATGGATGGTCTAGATAATGTGTTGTAAGATGTACTATTTCCAGGACTCAAAATCTTTTCTTTTTTCATATTCATACAATTCGATGTCGAGATAATCAATTAGAGGTTTCTTTAACATTCAAACAACAGTTTATGATGGATTTTTGAAATGCATCTGTAATTCTACATTTTAAGATTGCAACTTTATATAAACTAAACTTTTTTCTTATTTAAATCATTACAATTAATTATTTTGATTACAATAATTATTAGTTTTATTAATTACTAAAAAATGTGATTGATATAAGTAATATTAATTATACTAGCAACATAGCTGTAATATTCTAATGAATATTATAACAATTGCAAAAATAAGAACAATCCTAATTAAATATTATGAATATATTACAAGACTTTAATTAGACAAGGATGATGATGATGGTGATAATAATGCATATTATATTGATTATAACACTAACAATTATACTAGGAATCCTGAACTTATGATGATGATGACAACAATAACAATTGTATAAAGTAACTAGTTTATTCTAAGATTACTAAATATAGTTATATTTACGAACTCAATAATATTCTCTTGAGGTTATTTGATGTATCATATTTTATTTGCTATGTTTAAATAACATACAACATTTACTCATTTGGCTAAGGACATGTCCAATATGCTATAAAGAGAGACATAGTCATTTTCTCATTCACCGTATTGATTGTTATATTATTTACATAACCTTTTGATAGGACCCGCAAAGCAGATGCATCTTACTAGCATATCGCATCTTACTAGTATATATAGACACACACTTATGTGACAGATTTCCTACAAAATTCAAGCTGTAACATGCAGATACAGTGTTTTTTAGATAAGAGAGATATTTTTCCAACATGTTGCTTTCAAATTGCTATCCCCTTAGAGTAGAAACAAGCTCAGGATCCCACTTTCTGTGGGATCACGATCCCATGTAGGAGGGATTGCATCCCCTATGGCAGATGAACACCTGGAGCATGGACAGCAGCTATGGAGATGGGCAATTGTGGAAACTATGCATTTGGACATTGCAAAAACTGTAGATGCATTACATGGTCTTTCTTCATGCCACTTTGTGATGAAGCCACTTAAATAATTGTTTTCGATGTAGGACCAAAAAGCATTGGGCACCTCATTAGAGATATTCCCATGTGACTGCAAGAATTCACATATGCATTGCGTAGTGGACAAACTGTGCAACACATTCCTTACACCTAATGCCTATGGGAATTGTTAACAGAGAACATAAGAAAAAATAAGTGAATAAAGTTGAGTCCTCAACAAAATTGGAGACCAACCATACTCTTGTATGAGACAGTGTATAGAACCATGCAGAAAAGAACATATTGAACAATAACACACTTCAAGTGTCTCTGTGTTAATCACGAAACATGAACAAACTTATTTAGTTTGCAACATTTTATAGGACAAAAGACGGCCCAAGATCAGTGTTCTTGCTTGTCTAAAAACAGAAATGGGAATATCGCAACTGAAACAGATCCCAGTTCCCAATTTCGGTCATAAATGGAAAGGTATCCCATCAAGGTATTCCATATGGAGGCCACGACAGTATTTCTTAACAAAGAAGAACTGAAACTTAATTTCTGAAAAGGCCTGAGGAGGTCAAACAGACAAATAAATAAAATTCCATGAAGCATGACGTAGGTGTCTATGGGAATATTAATTTTGGTAACAACGACACCACCTACATCCAAGATACAGCCCGATTAGAGAATTTAAATCCACATGGTACTGTAGGAAGAAATTGGTGTACCAAAATTGCTCTTGATCAGGCTCTAATACATTTACACAACAGAGAACACTCTCATATCATCAAAGCATTTAGCATAAACACATGATCCTACTCTCGTAGAATCATTAAGATGCAACTTGCTGCAGACACGCACGAGGAAATGGGAAAAACGTAAAAGAAAGAGAGCTCTCCCTTGCAACTTCGAATTGATGTAGCATGCACATCAAGGAAGCATGCTGCATCAAAATGGTAGTTGAAAAGAAGCTTTCAATCTCAAATGCTCTGTTTCTTCTTCGTTGTGGGTGTGTGCTGCCAATTGTGGACGTATTATTGCTATGCAATTGAATAATGGTGTCGCCAATGAGAAAATGGTGCTGCTAACTGGAAAATAGTGTCGTTAATGCGGACATCACAATTCTTGTAACTCTTGGGGCTGGAAACAATCCACTTGAATGGATCTTGATTCTTGATTATTGTCCAACTCATCATCATTCCAACTCCCTAAAGAAAATGCCTTTCACCATCCTAACTCCAAATTGATAAGTTCAGATCGTAATAGCCATGCAGGTAAAGGTTTTTTCCAAATTCATTCATATAGTTTAGCTAGTTATTAGCTTAAAAGGGTTATAGATGTTATGATCCCAAAGCCAAGAAATCACATACTATGCTCTTTTATATAAATATATTTTGCATACAAATGATTGCATTTTGTCATATAAATATAACAGCATTGTATGATAAGGAAATATAAGAATTTCTAGGAAGCCCATGGAATTCATACGGTTTTAAGTACTCCTATGGGCATGCAACCAATAAGAACTCAAAAACATCATTGTGGCCATACATTTTTATCTGATGCACGTGTTTCCCACCAAATCAATAGACCAGAGATCAAGTCAGCTTCATGCACCATTAAAATATCACTAGCTTTAACCAATAAAGAGTAACTGTGATTTTCAGTAAAAACAGCAAAGACCAGATAACATTCTAAAGGTAAATTGAAGCCAATACCTTTCCATCAGACAGCTTCCCATCCAATTGATTTATCAATGAAAAATACTTCTCTTTATAAAATGAAGCTTCCCGCTTCTGCTCTTCGAGCTCAGTCATGAAGGAATCCATAAACTGTTCCCATTCCCAAACAGCACGTTCCCTTCTTGAAATATCTTCCTCCTTCGTTGACAGAAACCTGCATGCCCAGCAAAACAAGTTCAGTTTCCAAAAATAGAAAAGAGTTACAGAAACCCTACACAAAACCAGTTCAGAAAACCTAGAAATCAAAGAAAGCCTACCTTTCACGGGAAACGAGGAACTCATCTAACTGTTTAAATAGAAAATGGAAATAATCACGATTTATCCTAAATTGTTTTGCAGTTGCAGATTCTTCGAAAGCAGGTTGAAAGGTGGGAGACCTCCATTGATTGTTTCGAGAAGCAGATGGTGCTGGAGGCATGGAAGCGGACTGAGGTGGAACAGATGAAAAACTGTAACGAGAAGCAGATGGTGCTGGAGGCACGGAAGCGGACTGAGGTGGAGCAGATGAAATATTGTAACGCACATAGGGGCGCTTTCTCCATCTCGGTCCCTTTCTCAGGTCATCTTCCTCCATTTTTAGAAATACAAACCAGCCCGCCCTCTCTCTCTCTCTTTGAACTCTGAACTCTGAACTCTCAATGCCCTACTTCTCTCTCTCTCTCTCTCTCAATGCCCTAATTCTCTCTCTTATGCACTGTCTCTCTCTCAATGGAAATTGGCAAATCCCGCCATGCCTGCAAAATCTTCCATATTAGGCATGAAAGACTTTCTCTTCTTCCTTCTTGGGAAGATCAAGATTAAATAGAGAGTAAAAAGATTGGGAATATCCATTTATAGAATAGGCGTGGCTGTCAAAGGTGAGGAAGTTCTATTATAGGACGACGGGTTGCATCCCAGATGCAATGCATGTAAAGTGAAATAGACATTTGGGCGAGGAGCCTGGCTTCAAGGTTACCAGATGATATGCAGATTAGGAGCCTCCCGTGTTCGAATCAGATTAACACCGGTTTTAAACAGATTTAAAAACAGAGGTGACCTATCAATACTTGGAAATCTTGAACATTATTTTTAAGATTTGAATTTTTTTTTTTCTTTATATTCATACATTGGATGTCAAGATGATCAATTAAAAAGCTTCCAACTCGAAAACACCTTTTTCTAGTAAAGTTTTGAAGTACGCCTTACATTTTAGAGTATAAAATTGGAATCTTATATCAAATTTTTCCTTTTTATTTTGGTTAATTATAAATCGTTACTAGAGGTGCAGTTGGATGTTTAAAAAAAAAAAATGTCTACTACTATTACTGTGTAAGTACATAAAATTCCTTTTTTGCCACTAAAAACTTATTGAAGCAGGAAGATGGGTTTAAACAAATTATACAACTTGGATGAGCATGAAACCTATTGTAACGACCTAGATTTTTCAGGCCGAATAGGGTGCACGGCGATAGAGCACATGGCGAGAGAGCGTGTGGTGAAGGAAGAGAGAGCGCGACGATAGTGTAGGGCGTGCGAAGATAGGGCGCACGGTGAAGGAAGAGAGTGTGCGGCGATGGTGTACGGCGCGGGGTGATAGGGTGGCGTCAAAGGAAGAGAGTGCATGGCAATGGTGTAGGGCACGCGGGGAAGGAAGAGAGCGTGCGGCGATGGTGTAGGGCACACGGTGAAAGAAGAGAGCGCGTGGCGATGGTGTAGGGCGACGAAGAAAGAGAGAGCGCGGTGATGGTGTAGGACGAGCGGTAGTGGAGAGCGCAACGCCGCGAGTGGACGAGGGGCATTGACGTGTGCGTAAAGCCGGTTGCGGCACTGCCGTGCATGGTTGATGTTCACCACTTGTCTAGCTGCATGGAAGCTTGTTGCCACCCATCAGTTTAGGGCTGCCACCTGCCAAGAGGACGTACTTAAGGCCTCTCTTCTCCCTCACGTCCCTCACTCTTCACTCCTCCATTTCTCTCTCTCTAAGAAAAGCTTTGGGGAAGCTCTCACCCTCACCTAGGAGCAACCATTGTTAGAGTTAAGGTATTGTAGTAAAAGGATTGGAGTACACCATTGTTGTTTAGGTAAGTGGATTTCTACCCCTTGTATCAAGTTATATAAAGCATGAATTTAAGCATGTATGAAAGCAAGATTTAGAGAGTTTAAGCATGAGATGAGACATGAGGTTGTATAGAAATTGGGTAAAAGAATAAGATAGCATGAATGTATTTGTGCTCTGGTTTTCCAAAAACTTGGCTTTCTTTGTATGAATTGTTAGGCATTGTTATCATTTCTGTTGAGCCTAAAAATTTGTGGGTTGATGCTCTGGTTAGTTTAGTTTATGCTAGAGTTGGTTTCATGTTGTTATCTTAGATAGATTTGCAGTTATTGAATAGTTTTTGGAACATGTCATTCTTGCACTGTGATTTTTCAGAGAATTTACCTACTGTTGTGATGAGATTTTGACTCAGTAAATGATATCCAATTGACCTCAAATTACCACCCTTAGAAAGGTATATGAATCTATTTTGAGTTTGGTGTTTATTACTAGTTGAGATTCTTGATAGTTTGGAAGATATGCTTTGTTTTATACATATATGTCACTGTTAGCAAACTGTGATAATTTTCAAGAATATTATTTCTGTTGAACTGAGAGTTTGACTAAGCAATTGAAGTCCAAATGATGCCAAACTATAGCCATTGGAAAGATTTTTGAGTCTCTTTCAATGTTCATGGTTTTATCTTTTCTGATTCTTCATGTATGTAAAGTTATAGTTTGAAATATGCCAGTAGGTCACTGTAGACACTTTTAGTAAAAACACAGAATCGATGTCTCTGATGACACGGATTTTGACTGACCAAAATGTGTCCATTTTCTTCCAACCATTGCCATTTGAACGGTACATGAGTAAGCTTCAATTTAGATATTGAACACTTTTGAAATCTCTTCTTGATTTCGAGTTATGGATTAAGTTTTAAGGACATGTCACTACCTTCATTGCACAACAGATTTCAAATTTAATGTCTCTATTATTTTATACTTTTGAGGGGGCAAACAAGATTCAATTTCTTTCAAACTACACCTATTTGAAAGATGGTTATGTCTAGCACAAAATTGATTTTGGAACTATCTTTAAATTTCAAGTGAATTGAAAGTTATGACCCTATTTGTAACTAGATGTCACAGCTTGAAATTGCAGTTGTAACACTTATGGACGCTGTTACTATTATTCTGTGACACCGACATCGAGGTTAGGTGACTCTGATAATGTTCTCATGCGATACCGATACCGCCACCCTGTGTTTGTGATACCGGGTTTCTGTTATATGAATACTGATATCTGACTGTTACGCAATTGGTCCTCCAATGGTAGTAGACCTTCTGTGTCTATTATATGAAGACTGATATCTGACTGCTATGCAATGAGTCCTCCATTAGTAGTAAACCTTATATTTCTGTTATATGGATACTAATATCTGACTGCTACGCAATGGGTCCTCCATTGGTAGTAGACCTTATGTTTCTGTTATACAGATACTGATATCTGACTGCTACTTAACGGGTCCTCCATTGGTAGTAAACTTTATGTTTCTGTTATATAAATACTGATATCTGACTGCTGTGCAATGGGTCCTCTATTGGTAGTGGGGTATACTGTACATTGACTCTTATGATAGGAGTGGAGTCAAGATGTAACTGTAATTAACTGGGTGGGTCGCGGCACCCCGATTTGTCATGGGCACTACGCATTGGGTCCTTCAATGGTAGTGTAGCGTCCTCTCGCCTGAGGGTACAAGAGAGGGTCGTGTCTTGCAAAGCCTTAGCTTATCAAAAACCCCAAAGCTCGCTGGGGATGTGTGCGTGAGTGAAGATATTACGAAGTGGGACCTCCACTTATTATTATCTCCCTCCTGAATAAGGGTAGAAATCCCAAGTTTCAGGGTTAGCTTGACCTGATTGATGTGACTTCTACTTCGAGAGTAACTTGTTTTGTTCTACTGATCTGAATTCATATGTTTTAGTTATTTGAATTCGGTATTCTATATGAACTTCTGACTGTATCTATATTATTTACAAAGGTTGATGTCCTCTTGAGAACAATAAATGCTCTGTTAATTGAATTTTACCATCTTTATACAACATTCATACATACTCTGATACATACTCTGATGTGTGACCATACTCTGTGAGACAAATGTGATTTCTGACAAACCATGGACATGTTATTATGTATTTATTGATAGTCAGAAATGCAAGGGCAGTGATATACTTACTAAGCTTATTGCTCACTTCGCTTATTTCATCTGTGTAGAGCGTTAGTGCCTGACCGAGTGTGGCGAGCAGCGGACTGATGATAGCAGGTGTTAGGAATTCAAACCGGTTCACGATTTCTTCTTGACTTTGTAGGTGTCTAGTGGCGTTGCTACATGTTATTTCTTTTTTATGTAATATTTCTTAGATGAATGTTAGGCTTGTAAGCCTCAAACCATATTATAAAGACTTTTGGAGATGAATGAAGTTAATGGTTTTAATTTATTCAGTTTCATGTCACTTGATGCATGAGTTTTATCTTCTTATCGTGGTTTACTTTGATTCCGTACTTTTAATATGTGTTGATGCCACTCTCACCTAACTGACGTACACGACCTCTGGTCGCGATTCCGTACTCTGTCGCCCTCCGGTGGGGTTAGGGGGCGGGGTCGTGATAGTTATGGTATCAGAGCAGTCAGGTTAAGGTTCTTGGCCTAGGGAGTTAGAAGTATCTTTAAAATAGATTTGGGTAGATTAGTAACTGAGTGTTTGTGTCTTAAGTTGGAGATACCGAGGACACGAGCTAATAACACAAGCTCTAGTAACAAAAACACTAATGCCCTCGAAAAGTTTGTCAAGACTTTAGGAGCCATGACACAGATGATGAAGGAAGCTATACCAGCCCCATCTACCCCTACCCCGGACTCGAATGATAGTAGCTTGATAGAGAAGTTTAAGAGGTTGACTCTTCCGACCTTCTTAGGGCCTAGGGGAATAGAAAAGGCTGAGAGATGGAAAAGATAGGTGGAAAAGATATTTGAAGTTTTAAACTGCACTGATGAGCAGAAAGTAAGGCTAGGCACTTTCATGCTTGAAGGAGACGCTGAGTACTAGTGGGGCTCAGTGAAACAAATCTTGGGAAGAGTCCGGGACAGATGCGAGCTAGGAAAATTTTCTAGTAGCCTTTAATGAATCAGGGAAATTTAAGTATGAGGGGGCGGGGTCGTGATAAGTATGAGAAGTATGAGAAGTACTTTCTTGAGAAGTACGAGAAATACTTCTCTATTTCAGTATGAGAAGTACTTTCTTGAAGCCTTCTAGTAGCCTTCAATGAATTCGAGCTGCAACAGGGAAATTTAACTGTGGAACAATATGCTACCAAGTTTGCTGAGTTGTCAAGGTATGCGCCACACATCATCAATACTAAGGCACGGAAAGTAAATAAGTTTGAGAGGGGCCTTAGGTCAGAAATAAAGGGGAAGGTGATATCAGCGAATCTGAAGGTTTTCTCCCCTATGGTGGATTTAGCCATGAAAATCGAGAGGGACTGCAAAGAGTCTCGGGTTAGGGGAAACTAGAAGATGAGATCAGCCTAGTTTGGAAACTTGGGAAGAAAAGCTCGACCACCACCGAAGAGGAACTTTAGGGTGGGGGGAGAGAATTAGAGAGGCAAGAAGATTCAGAGAACATTGACGAGCAATGTTAGAGAGAGTCGGCACCCGACGTGCCCACACTGTGGGAAAGATAATCACTCAGTGGCTTATTGCTGAAGGAAGACTGGGGCATGCTTTAGATGTGGCAAGCCGGGCCACCAAATTAGAGATTGCCCAGTAGGGGGACCTGAGAACCGACCAAAGACTCAAGGTTGGGTGTTTGCTCTCACTGAGCAGGAAGCTAAGGCATCAACTTCAGTTATCAGATGTATGCTCTCCGTTTGTGGCATTGAAGCTAAAATTCTGGTTAATCCTGGATCTACACACT